GGACATTTGCCTCACTGAAAATTCATCTAATATTAGGACAAAAGTGGAGAAGTGTTTGCTTTTCCCAGTTTTATTCAGTTTGAATGCAGCGTCAGGTAGATTTCAGAGGTCATTACAGGAAATAATGCTTTTACAGTAATCTGTTTATGCTAGATCTTAAACACTGCATTTTTACTATTTTTTTACGAAGTCTGAATCATTAAGTAATCTATCCAAATCAGAACACTTTGCTGAATCTTTACCTAAGTGAAAAGAAATTTCTGGATTTTTGTCCTATTGTGGTGTACTGTTTTTGTTAGCAGATTTGCTGCTGGAGAAAGCAGCAGTTAGGATAAAAGGGGTTATATAAGAGAGCTCCTGCTGAGAGTCCGTGCCACTCTACAGGGTGATACCAAACACTGTATTCCCCAGGGCAGGTACAATAATTAGCCACAGGACTGGTGCTCAGTCTGAAGGATTAATTAGAACTGGAGGTGGTGTTGGAGGGAGGCAGAGCAGCCATAAAGAGTGTCAGGATCACTCTGGCCTGAAGCCTGTATGATTTGATGTGAAATAGCAGCAGCTGGCTGTAACCTTAGGAAGTGCAAGAGAACAGCAGGTGGTAATTCCTGTCTCATTTACCATGTCTTCACAGGAACATGCAAGCTTGTGCAGCTTGGGTTTATTGGCAGGTCAGGAGGAAAATCCTAGAGAGGACTGTGACATTTACTATAGTGAGCAAATGCAGCAGTCAGACTGGAGTGTAGGCAGCACAGTGTAAAACCAGTAACGCTGTTGCTTAGCGCTGCCATACCTGCCTCTGACAAGGTCGTGACAACCTTAGGATATTCACCTCATGTGGACCAATGGACAAAGCTGAGAGTACTGAGAAAAATCTAGGACATCTAGTGGGAATTGCATCCTTCGAAGCTGTGCTGCATGTCACGGGACAACTGTTTCATCCAAGTGAAAAAAGTCAGATGGGGGGCAATGATACGATGTTCCGGCATCCCTCGGTTTTCTCAGTAGCCATTGTATGGGGCAAATAGGCTTTACCTACTCTTCCAGGTGGGTAATGCTGTCCCATGGCTGTTGGCCTCCATCAGGCATCGTGTTTTGCTTGGCATTTGGGCAAAAATGGCAGTGAGGCATGCAGCAACTGTGCTAATTTAGAAACTGTAACCAGCTAGCATTTCAGGGTGAGCTTGAGTAGCTGTCAGCAGAGGAATTTAGTAGACCAGTGGTCGCTGTTGATGACTGTAGTGTTTTGTATTCTGTTAGGGCCTCCCAGGGTGTAGAACAAGAACCCTTCCTATGTGCAGTTCAAGAAGCAAACCAAATAAAGAGAAAAATTGAGTAACTTTGAATCTGTCGTTCAGAACAGCTTTTGATAGGGAAAAAATAAAACAGATCCAGGGGATATTTGTGGTTATATTTATAGCACAGTGACAGGAAAGGAACTATTTTGTGGGAAGGATAGCTCTTTTTTATGCCTTTTTAGATGCTCATTGTGTGCCAACATTATCTTTCATGGATGCCAGAGGGTGCAATGCCTCCTAAAACCTCTCACACATGCAAAAACTATGGACCTATTGTAGTGTCTTTGCTGGGTTCCATTTAGTTTTCCCATGTTTCTGTCTCCAAAGATTTGTGCTCCTCATGGGGAGATGATCCAGGTCCAAACTGGCATTGCACGTATCTGAGTGTTAGGTCTAAGATTATGACCACTTTGGGCAACGGAAGGAAAGCTTGGGAAGAAGCTGGAAGAAGTAACTAAGCTGAAGATGGAAGAATGGGACTGACCCTTTTCTCCTGTGGTGTTTATGTAGGCAGAAAACTGCAGCACTGACAGCTAATCTTGAGCTTGCCTGTGCAGTGTTGGGAAGCTTTGGGAGTGCTGGGGCTGGACTGTGAAGTGCTGAATGTAAATGGTTCTGTGTACAGCTACACAAATCTTTCAGGTCTTCATTTCTTCTCAAGGAAAAAGAAAATCCTTCATGACAAACCGCTATATTTACTGAATAAGCACCTTTTTTTATTAATTCTCAGTTCTCCTTTATGTTGAAGATGAAATAAATCCAAATTAATATGAGTTTAAAACCTCAAATTGTGAATATGTTAATTTAGTGGTAACTGAAACTTCCTGTCCTATAATTCTAAAAGCTGATGAGTAAAAGTGAAATTGTTTAAAAATGTTCTGTTTATTCATTTTTTCAATAAATGTCATTTATTGCTTGCTATTCAGATTTTACTTTTTATGTAGGTTTCTTGTTTGTTCTCGTTTCCATTACATGGGTGTTGTAGTTTTATCTAGAGGAGAAATGGATCATGTGCACAGCAGGGCTAATGAGTCACAGATGTAAAGATTCTGACACATTACTATCTAATAACTTCTTTAACTTATATTCCATAATAAGATAAATGCAAACTTGATACATCTGTTTCCTAAATGATGTATCATTCCAGTCTTATCAGTGTCTTGGGAGTCAGTCCCTTTATATGTTGTGAGTTTTAGCCTTTTTTGGTTTTGTTTTCTGTTTATTTGTTTCTAAAGAGGAGGTTTCAGGTCACTGAGCAATGCAGTTAGCCACACTGCAGTTCATCCCAATGAAGTGGGAAAGCTGAATTTAGCCACTGGCTTTATGGGATCAACTTGCAGGGTCTCAGCTTCATATCATGGATATATAGCAGGAATAAAGACCCTAAATGCAACTCCAAGGCGCTAGCGAAGAACATGTACGCATCAAAAAGTTACTCTCCCTTTTTTGTAAAGACTGGTGCGGTCTTTGTGATCCACAGGCTCTCTGGTATGATGAACAGAGCAAATATTTGCCACATTAAAAGAATCTGCTGCAGCTGAGAGACCTGGCAGGCTGCCCTGGCCTGTTGGTGCTCCCCAGCAGACCAGCTGGGCTGCAGGGAGCTCATGTGCTACAGCAGCATGGGCAGCACCAGCAGAGCCTCCGCACCACACTCCTCAGAAGGGCCCTTGCCCAGGCACAGCCTTCCCTTTTAGGAGGTGCTAAGCTGGCATGGTGCAGCTGTTTGCTCCAGGAGGAGCCCCCAGAGGGGCTGTGCTACCAACTCTACCTCATAAAAGTGTTCTGTGGCCATACAGGGGGCTTAGAGCTCCCTGGCTGTGTTTTATTTAATGTTCCTCAGCCTAATGTCTCTGCCACTGAGCAAGCCTCTGCTTCTGGCAGTGTGCTGTCCTAAAGGCATGGAGAGAACTTAGGGATTTCCTCCTGTTTAGGAATTCACTGCTCAACTGCATAAGGTTTTGGCTTTATCAGAAGATTTAATTCACTCCCTCAAGAAATACCTCAAGGTATCTCAAGAAAGGTTTTGAACTGAGAGGAAAATTCAGCCCCTTATATTGTGACAGCAGGCCACAATCACCACTCTCCTCCCTTTTTGTGCCAGTACAGTACAAGTTCTGCACATCGTGGTAGAGTAGAATATGAGAAACCATATGTGGCATACAGCAATTGAGGGGCAAAAATGGATGTGAAAATACTGCTATGTATGTCTCAAAAACTTTGACCATGGCCATTATGGACTACCCAAGATCTAGCAGTAGATTTATGTTCAGTGTTTATGGTTGTGTTCGTGCTGCCAGTTTATGTGCTGCATGTCATATGTTAAACAGAATATGAAGAGCAGGATATTAATTATGCAAAGCACTTCAGAGTATGCTGTCACTGCTGTCAGCTTCTGCAGCAATCCAGAGTCAAGGCTTTCTGCATAGATCTCCTGAAGTGCTGTAGTACATTTCAATCAAAAATGGCTCGATCGTCTGCTGGCTGATAGTCTTAACAATTTTCAAATGATCATGACAATTTATTGTAATTTTAAGAAAAGACACCTTCATGGGATTGCTCCTTCTAAAATCTCTTGATATTCTCGTTGTGAAGTATCAACCTGCATCTGCAGTGCAGTGCAGACCTAACTCTGTTTCCCATATGACAGAGAGGCCGTTTCCTGTCCGTCGGCAGTGCGGGGTGTACTAAACGCAGTGTTTGTTCTGTTTGTCCATTAGTAAATTGTCTCTGTGATGTTTGTGTCGTGCTGTTCTCGTACCATGTTGTGCTGTGTCCCTAGGGTCTGCCAGGCTTCCCCACAGTTGCTGCTCTGCACAGTAATCAGATCCTCACCGTCAAGGTTTGTGGCTGACATGTACCCTGTTCGGTCAGGTCTCTCTGTATCAGCATAACAGTGCACATGAAAAATTGCTTTTTAGCATGGAATACCAGTGAATTCTCATGGTGAATCTAAGCCAACCCTCCCTGCCTTTGCATTGATCTAAGTACTCCTGATTCAGAGTGTGGAATCAAATCTATAACTGTGTACCTCTGGAAATGCCTATGTTCCCCGTAGTCTTGGTCAATATTTTATTTTCAGATGGGTTTTTTGTGTTCTGCTTCCCTGAAGCATATATGAGTGTGAAAAATGACACTGAACTCTATACTGGTTACGTGTAGAGTCAGATATTTATGTTAGATATCAGAGATCTAATCTGTACGTCCGTATTTTTTCCAAGTGGATTTGCAAATTAAGCAGGAAGCAATCTGGTCAAGCTGGAACTTCAGACATTATAAAAATAACACTGTTCTTCATGGCACACTATGCTGGTTAGAAAATCTGACTGAAAGTTGAACTGGTGCTTTGTCTCTAGAAACTTTGCTGAAATAACAACGTATAAAAATACTGATTTTTAGAGCCTGGGTAATGAAAAAGCTCATGCACATGCAGAATTCTCATGCAAAATCTGGGGAGAAAACAGTTACTCATTTAAGTCATTGTATATTATTTAAATCATAGCAGTATATCCTGTGCAACAGAGGTAATCTTTTTCCAAAAGAAAATGCACAGTTTCTTTCAGGCAGAAGCACCAGTTCGTATTATATTAGTTATTACAAATCTAATGAATATGTCTTTATTTCTTTCTCGGGCCTTCTGATGTCTATTCTTCAATTCTCTCATCTCTGATCTTCAACCTTTGACCTCACCTGCCTGATCAGATGGTGTTTCCTAAAATCAATCATGGGTTTCTCTCTGCTGATCAGCAGCTCATTAAACGCCGCCTCATTAAGGTAGTGCTTCACCTCACTGGAATCTGGTTCTTCTTTACATTCAGTTTACTCTTTGCTGTACCTTTTTTTGTCAGATGCCTTCTTATGGCAGGTTGTTCACTTGAAAATGCTTTGAAATGAAGCAACTGTTAATGGTATTAACAGTTAAAAGACCATGGGTGGCTTTGCTAAGTGATCCACGTTTTAGATGCAAGCAGCTTTTGCCAGGGGTTTGCAGTGATGTGCTGGAAATAACTAAAGCACCAATTTGGGGTGTCTTTTCTTTTTTAAAGGGGAAGGTAATATGTTTTGACAACTGTCTTGAGAATTGACTTTTACAAATTATAGGTAAAAATGAAGAGAGTTAGCTAATTGTCACTATAAAACAGCCTCCCAAAACAGATGGAAAGTTATGTACAACTTCATGAAGAAGCAGTTATTTTTCATGCTCACTTTTGAAATCTATCCATGTATCATTCATGGGCTTGGAAAATTGCTGTGCAAATCTGTGTATTTTAAGATGAGACTTTTTTTTTTCATCTCAGATTTGCTATGATTATGCAAATCATGAAGCAAACAGATGCTTACCAAAAGCAGTCGCTGGCTCTGGAGAACTAGATGAGTAAAGTATTTCAAGAGCATCCCAAATTTTGGCATATGTGCTGTGCAAAAACAAGCAGTTTGGAATCTGAACCTTCTGCTCTATGGCTGATACAAACTGTTGGTCTTCAAGGCAAAAGTGCTGTTTGTGCCATAAGCAATGAAAGAGCCACTGTCCAGTTCATGGCAGCTTCTTCCAGCCTGTCTTGCGCTCTTCATGGGTGAATTGATGTGTTTTTATGTGGTTGATGCCTCTAAAGCAAATTTGTGATGAGTTTTTTATTGGTTTAGGGGGACCAAGGACAAGCTGGACCCCCTGGGCCCCCAGGGCCACCAGGACCCAGAGGTCCCCCAGGAGATACTGGCAAGGATGGTCCTCGTGGGATGCCTGGCTTAACGGTGAGTTACTCTGTTGCTGCTTTGATGTGAACTTTTCTCTCAGCCAGCACAGTGTCAAAGACATTCTCTGAGATAAGACTGGCAGGTAAGAGATGCAGAAGCTGAACCAGGGGCAGGTTTCAAGGTGTACCTGCAGTTACACGCACACAGAACAAGTGTTTAGCAGGGCCAGAAGTAACACCAAGGTTCCTTTCCTCCCACCCCTGGCAGTTTCCCCACACTTTCTAAGGTTTCTCAGTCACTCACTGATGTTTAATAGCTGTGTGAGGAGAGTCTGCCCCTTTCCATGAGTAATAAATGTTTCTGTTCAGACTTCAAGATAAAACTGAATTTGAGGCCTTGTAACATGGATGTGCTTGATTTCTCACTTCCTAATGGTTTAACCTCAAAAGTCTTGGAGTAAAGTGATAAACTGCTAGAGCTGCCCAAGGCATGATGAAGTTTGGAGTTACATTCTGCCATCTTTAAACAAGAAGAGCAGTACTATTTTCTTTGGCTCAGCCCCCATACTTCATTAGGACAAGCAGCAGAATCTAGTATATTGTGTATTGTTTATTTTAGGCTAGGCACAGGATGAATCCCACACTTTTTAAACAGATGCTTAAACACATCACTTTTTAAAAAAGTCTGTGCTTGGTTTTAGTTTTATATTTTGTGGCCTCCGTAATTTTTCTTCCTTTGAGACAAATATCTCCATTTTTACCATGAGTGCCACTCTTACGATAACTGTGTTATCAGTGTGGAAATGGAATCACAGGCAGGAGAGGGACATGGAAAATGAAATGGCACATGTACAGACGCACACACACGTTCACATCCATGGAAAGTGAAGATTGTGGCCAAGAAGGCACATGGGGAAACATCAAGGTGAGGACCAGCGCTGAAAACAGAAACTGGTTTCTTGAAGAAAAAGCATCTCTTGTTACATGAAGCCAGGATGGCATAAATTTTTCCTGCAGGTCCTTTTTAGCTAAAACTGAGAAAGAAAATATCCACACTCCTCTTCTAACCCTTGTCAGGTGTTAACTGTCTAAATGTAATATATATAGCATGATAATAGTAAGATGCTCCAAAAATTTCCTGTGAAAATCCAGCAAATCTGGCCTGTTGAGACCTCTAGGACTCTAGAGCTGCTACTGCTGCTGTTGCTGTTGTTTTTTTTTACCACTCCTGCCCTCATAAGTTCTAGCTCAAGGTTATGAAATGACATGAAAAGTTTGTCACTCTCATGATGCTTTACTTTGGCAACCTTCTCATTTCTCTGTGGCACATCAGGCTCTGGGCCTCTTCTGGGTCTCCCTTGTGTTCTTTTACTGTGGTTAAAGGGACTGTGGTCAGCAGAGTTGGTGCTGGATTGATCTAGTAAGGGCAAGACTGAAACCAGAATCCATTTCTGGCTGCAGTGGCAGTGTTTTAATAATTCAATACGTGGGGCTGTCAGAATCAGCTGGCTTTGCTGATTACAGTGTGGCTGTGTGTTGCTTTGTGCTTCTTAGCAAAGGGATCATTAGTGTTTCTCATAACAGAAAAGTCATGCATTTTATGCAATGAGGTCATTCCATTTTGTAATAATTCTACAGTGATTTGACTTTAGATGGCAAGGCAGAGTTTCTTTTTATAGTTTTTAAGCTGTGGCTATCTTAAGCCCTATAACATTATGGAAAATCTGTTCATAATACTGCTTTAGAATCAGACACAAACAAGCTCTCAGGTAGAAACCATCCAGTTTTCTGCCCCTTGCTACTGATCTGTACCCTCAGGTTAATGTTCCTGATCCTCAGAAGGCTTGTTCCTCCGTGGCTGTGTGATACACAGTGAAACAGGAGAGCAGGGAAAACTTAGCTGAGAAGGGAAGGGCAGCTTTGTTTTTGAGATAAAGACTTGTGCAGGCTGAAAGCAGCAGCTGCTCTGTGCTGTGAGCTGGACATTGCAGCATCTCACAGCTATAGGATGTCCTTAGAGTGACCAGTGACCATTGGGCAGACATTCTTCTTCTGCAGGGTTAGATAAAGCAGGGCTTCTGTTCAGCCTGTCCTTCTCAAGCAAGAAGGTTTACAGTCACCACAGCTGTAAAATAGTGTTTTGGGGCAGTGACTGGCCAGAACCCTGTGCCTCCGTGGCTCCTTCCTCCCAGCTGTCCTTGGTGTGTTTGCAGATGCTGCATGTTTGCTTCTGAGTGCAATGCACACATATCCAGAGAAGCAGCTCTGATTCTTTCCAGTTGCCAGGAACAACAACATCAGAACAGTTCTCATGAATTTTATGACAGGCTTTCTTTTATGGCAAAGCTGCTAAAGGAGACCCTGCAGCTGTGCTGATACAATAGTGCATGGACTGCCCCGTGCTCAGTTGGGTTTTCAAGGGAGTGATGCATAAACCAGACCACTAAAATGATAGGTGCTCTGGCTTTTTGGATGGGTATTTTTAGCCCTTATTGTATGACTGATGCTTTTTACTGTCTCTACAGACAGATGTATGAGTTCATATGGGAAAAAAGGGGAGAAGATAGATTCTGACTTTATATGTAGAGTTGTGCCCACAGAAAGAGAATACATTGGAGAAATGATGGGTTATCATTTTGAAAGCCAGTCCAGGTATTTAGCAGCTGAGTAATTATTTCATGGCTTCAAAATACCAATATTCATGGTTTTGTGGAACATGGTAATTGACAACAGTAAGTTATGCCAGCTGACTGAGGTGATGACACAGACCAGTATCCTTGGAATATGTAAACTGTGGGATACAGCACATATGTGAAAATAACCTTTTCTCTGTGTCCTTTAGCACAGTGGAATGGAATATTATATTTGGAACCAAGGGACAGAGTCAGAACACCAATACTTAACTCTTGCATTGAGAACTATACCATTACATGATTGGGAAGTAGTACTTCTTAAGATGACTGCGATTTGGACTACCAGGTTAAAAAGCAAAAAAGTGATATGTTTAATGTGCAGTTAGCTGCCATGGCTGTTTAAGAATTAAATTTTTAAGATACTTTATTAATAGATAGAAATCTGGATTCAAGATATGTTGCTGAAATTATTAATTCATTTTTTTATTCAAAGGGTGAGCCAGGAAAACCAGGAGAACAAGGATTAACAGTAAGTATGCTTCCAGTTTTCTAAGAAAGTGTAACATGACATATATCTTTTAAAATGGGAAATTCCAAGAAGCATTATGGGTGTGTATTTCCTGACCTTCCTTTGTCACAGGCTATTTGAGGCCTTGTTTGTGAAGAAAACACAAGAAAGAAAACATCTTCTGTTTAAATACAGTCACATAAGGCAAACTTCTTTCAGCTTGGAGGAGCAGAAGAAAATAAAACAGCTAAGGGCACAGTAAAACAAAAAAGAAGCAAGCCAGGTGTTCAGAACAGTGGAGAGGCAGTGCTGAAACTCTCAGAAAGTTCTTTTGTTCTGAGGATTCAGGTTTTTTCCACTGTGTGTGTTAGAAACTTCCGATTCATTTGGAATTAAACTGAAGCTCCACTGGTTGTAAATCAGCTTTAGCCACAGATTAAGCCATCGTAAATTTCTGCCTGTCACATATTCCCAAAACAGTGCAACATGTAGTGCATTTTCTCCCTTAAGATCTCTCTAAACACAGTCATTTTTATTTTTATGAGAGATGAAAAATTTTAGCACGGGGCATGTGGTTTTGATTCCTGAGTGCTTCTGAGGAGGAAGATTATCAGTAATAATCAGGCCAACAATCAGTGCAGATATGATTGCTGTCTGAATTTGTGAAGATTTAAACAGGTGCCATGATATTTTACCTTGACAAATTGCAAAATATTTCCAATTGACAAAATCCAGTATCTTTTGAAAGACAAAAATGTAGATTCTGAGACTTGGAAGTATTTGCTGTGACCAAGTGGTTCAAGTCCTGTACTTTTTCATTTTGCAGTAAAGGTTTATCTGTTTTAAAATCAAAGCCTCACAAAGGTACTACCTCATTTTTTAGCATGCTTCTGGATGGTTTTTTGCTCTTTTCTTTTTGGTTTCTGAGTGCCTGTGAACAATAGATGCAATAGCTAGAAAGGGAGCTTTTTTGGTTTGTTTTCTTGTATTTGGAATATTCTCCAATTTGACCTCTGGACAGAAACTCACTCAGGTTCTGCAAAAGTGTCTTTCTGTTCAAGACCAGATCTGCAGAGTCACAGGATCCTTGAGGGTTTTTAGTCCATCACATTTTAGTCCCCATATACAGAGCATTCCCACTGCTCTAATGTAACAATCTGTGTGTAAGGACTAAAAATCTGCTACTGCTCTGTTTCTCTGAATGCAAATGTGTTTATATAGGAGGAAAAGGTGTTTAAAAACCAAATCATCAAACTTGAGTTGGAGAAAGATCCCAGATTACGTGAATTTCCAGCCTCAAATGTCTGTTTGAAAGGTCAGTCTGATGGCTTAAATGTTAGGTTATGTAGAGATCAAGTAAACAGCATCAGAGTATCAGGGAGGTAATTAGTTCCTTTTTATTCTTGGTGCTTCTGACGTACTCTTTATGCCAGTACAGATTTGCAGACTTGTCTGCCCCGTGGAAAATGTTACAATTATTCAGGGACTGTTTAGCTGTTTCTGACAATTTCCACCATGCATTTATTTCATGAATTTCCATATTGGAAATTCAGATACTCCAGGAATAGCTGATTTCCCAACATGTATGTTGTAAGATCACATTGCTAAAAAAAAATAGTATATTATGTGGTGAGGAGCACAAGCTTTTTCCTGCTTGAGTTTCTTTTTGTGCATTTTTCACCTCTTATCTTTTCAAAGTAAAGGAAAATGGAGATATCTGCCCAGAGGAGCTTCTAGGTTATTTCTGCAGGAATTCTTTTGTAAGGACTTATCTTTTTTTCACACCAAGGGTCTCCAGTCTGAATTAGCTTCCTGTTTTTCTTCTTGATGAAATTGAAACTCAAAATTCAGTGAGTTCCATAAAGTACTACCAGTCCTGGTCTCCCAAAAGTCCATATGTTGGAGTGGGCTGTGGTTTCCTACTTGCCCACCTGTCCAAGGCCCTTTCCAGTAAGAAGCAAATACTGTGGCATATATTCTGATTCTTCCTCTGAGAGGAAGGATGGAGTCAGGATGCAGCCAAGGAGAGCACTAAGTACTGGGAGAGGATCCATACAGTTTGGGTGACATACTGAAGGTTGTGGAAGATGAAGGCTATTTATGGCCTATAGGGTCACACTCTCTCAGGCTTTAAATCCCATGGTGCTGTTCAAGTAAAGGATAGCAGAATGCCTGACCTCTGGATTATAATAATGGGGACAGAACATTTTTCTCTTTCAAAAGCATTTTTTTACACCTGTATTTGGCAGCATGCCTTGGTATTTCTAGATGAATGTACACGTTACTGACAGAGCTGACAATTTCAGTAAGAACCTGTGAACCAACAATGGCATATCTTGAAATTACTTAGTTTTCTATTTTCTTGCAAAAGAAGGGGAATAAATTTCTTGAAGAGTACAAGATGTGGCAGCAGAAATAGCTAACAGTGTTTTCCAGCTTGTTCCTTGGGATGTTCCAGGAGCCTGTGACACAGGCTGAGTAATGTGTGACCTGCTGTGTGAATCGATACACACAGGTACCCAGGGCAGCCACAAAACCTCAGCTGAAATGCAGAGAGGAGATTTATTTCATCACCTCACTAACAGCACTGGGCAGCTGAGACACACAGAGACACAGCTGCACTAGGCTCAGTTTATCCTAGTGAGAGGAGACAGGCAGGGATACAGGCTCAGTTCATCCTAGAGCACAGCAGGGGTGGGGTGGGGCTGATACTGACCCAATATATCAAAGGTTTCCTTGCAGGAGCAGTTCAGCACAAGGCTGTGCTTCCATGATCATTCTTTCTCCCAGCAGAAGGCTCAAGCATGTCTGTAACAGTGTGTTACCTCCACACAGGAATTCTGCTTCTCAAAACAGGCAGAGGATGAACAACAGGAGATATAATAACTGGAGTTTCCACACACCAAAATTCTTAGTGTTCCCAGCTGCAAGGTCACGTTGGGTGAAATTATTTCCTCCTTAACACATCTTCTGGGTTTAACCCTTTCCTCCCAACACCTGCAACAATGTGTACCTTGATTTACAGAAAGTTAAAATTAGTTTAATGCATTTGGAATTCTGGGAACGTTTATGTTCTCCTTTCAGTGAAACAGGAAATCCAGTGACTAGTGAAAAGATGGGAATTTGCTGCAACTGAGAATCTGCTGCCACGTTTTGCTTCATATTTAATGAAATCCTGTGTTAGTAAATAAAAAAGAAATTAATGTTTCAGGGTGATGTTATGAGAGAGGGCAGTAATAGCTTTCCTTCCTCTCAGACAGATGAGTTTTGCTTGGACAATATATAGAGAATGACAGTGTTTGAGTACTCTCAAAGTGTCATGAGTGACATGAGTTCTGCTTTGGCTCAAGAGAATTTGTCTTCGAGACAAGGAATGGCATTTCTTTTTCCCTATTTCCATTGTAGAAAAATGTGTGGGTTGGTGGTGGTGTCCCGTGGTGGTGGGACAATTTAGGATGTGAGAGAATCAGTTGTTTCTTACAGGAGTGTCTCATTCTTTGCTAAAAATCATTCCAGGTTGTCTAAGTGCCAATGATTATTTTGCTCATTTGTCCTTGCAATTGAGATGTTTGGGAGAACTCTTTGCAAGGGTTTTTGGGCTCTGTATGTTGCTGTGTGAGGAAGAATATGTTTGCTCTTTGCAGCAAGAAATTTCATTTTCTTTTTAGGTGAGATGGGGGTTTAAGTTATAAAGATGTGACTGCATGTGTCTTCATTGTTAGAAGAGAATGAAGGAATGACTAGTGGTTGAAATTTGTGTTTGGTTTCCATGACATTTGAAAGACCTGCAGATGCACTTTCTTCAAGAGTTGAAGGTATCATTCCTCTGTGCAGAAGGGATTAAGAGAATTCAGGGGAGGCCAAGCAGTGAGGTGACCAAAGGGATTAAGTTTTGAAATATTATGTGGAACTAGAAAAATGCACGCTACTCAAGACAGAAGGCCAGTAGTTTCTGTAGCTTTTCAACCTTTTTGGTTAAAGTTGTGGCCGGCCTCTCATAATTCATCCTGCTTCCCCTGCCATTTGTCTGCAATTCTTGGTGATAAGGACTCTTAAATACCATACAAGAGTTTTTCCAGTTTATTTTCTCATTTTCATAGTGAATAATAGATGGATTTGTGATTCTTTTCTACCCAAGAGTTAGGATTTCTGGTTGCAGACTATTCATGAGAACTTAGAGTCAGTGATGGAAAACATTAAAGGCTGACACTGGCAGATGAACATGTTCAGATTCATAAACTGCAGTGGGATAGAAGGTGTGCATGAGATGGTTTTGTTCCTAATTTCCATGTGGGAGAATTTTTTGTGCTTTTATGGGTAAATTATTTTAAACTAGTTCATATTAATAAAAATCTGGAATATTAAAATATGCTATGCCTTCAGATCCTTTTTTCAAAAGTAAATTTAAACATGTTCAGTGTACAACCATTTCTTGTCAGTGAAAGAAAACCTCAGTGTATTATTTTCCTCCCCAAAATGTGCCTTAAGGACAGATAAGTAATTTTGCATATGTTTTACATGAACAGAACACTCCAGAATAACCAGAGAGCTCAGGTAAAGGTGTCTCTTTGCAAAAGAAATCTATGCTATGATGACTAACCCAAATGCAAAATCCCTCTGCTTTAAGATACAGTGTTTTCCAAACTAATACTTTTCTGCTTATACAGACTTGCTGGGCATCTGTTCAAGAAAGTAAAACATAATGTTACTGCCTTCACTGGTTATTCAGAAAAAGGGGGATGTTCTTCCAAAGGATATAGCCATATTTGTGTAAGACAGTGGAAAAGTGTAACCTTGCAGTTAAGTCTGCAGAATGTCACATCTTTAAAATGAATTAATACTATTTTCATCTTATGCTAAAATGAACTCTCAGGGACCAGACAGAATTGTCTGGGAAGTTCTGCTGGTTTCAATACAGCCTTTCAGGCCAATCGTCAGGGCCAGATTCTCAGCTGCTGTGAATCTTCATAGCTCCTCTGGGAAGCTACTAATTGTGATTTTGTTTTCAATGGCCAGAGTTC